GAGTCCCCCTTCATCCGAATAGCATTTGCTTTTAACCAACGGAAACAACAGCGGCGGAAACAACTTCCGTCCAGGACGGCCAGGTCGACGACGTGAAAACCACGGCAGGCCCAACTGAGCCCTGGCATATCCCCAGACTTCAACCTGCTTGTAGGTCAGCCCCGCACGGATGGACCAGAGCGGGTCCTCCAGAACACCCTTGAGTAGCGTCCTATTCAGATCCGTACGGTTCATAATCCACACCTTGGCGGGATCCCGATCGCCCCCAACACGGAATGTGCCAGGGGATAAGGATTCCTTCATTCGGGCCTCCCACCAGGACCAATCACTTGGCGGCGGTGCGGCACCTGCTGGGATAGTCCGGGCACGACATAACGTGTCGACCCCGACGGGGAACCCGAAAGGGAAGCCGAACGCGACGGGCCCACTCAGACCACCGAGCACTGCATTGCCGCCAAAGGGTGGCAGGTGTGCGCCACACGGGCAAGCGCCACGGTGCAACTACTGCGCGCAGCGAGCGGGTCTGGCACGCTCGGCCGATCTCCTCAGGATCAGAGAACATCCAGTCGAACGTGAACTCGCGGACCCGTTTCTTCGAGTTCACCTTGTCGACCCATCGACCAGGCCGACCTTTCTGCACACGTAGCCGACGTCGTAGCCAATCCCGAACGTTGCTAGTCCTGATCGATTTTAATATCATCGAAATCCTCCTGCATAGACGTGGCAAATCGCCCTCCACATATGCTGGTAGGACGGGCGGCGGTGCATTGAACGGTGCCAAACGATGCTGACGTAGTAAGTACTCGATTACCATGATGGCCACCATGCGGCGAGCCCCGCCTGGAATAAAATCATTGACCAGCTCCCCTGCACGGTGCAAGAAGCCAACAATCGCGCCCGCGTTCCATGATGGGGGAAAGTTCACGCATGGACGGTCTGATGCACAATAAGCGATAAAAGGATTGAAGAAACCTTCCTCGGAGATCGGAGATGCTGATCGGGCCATATCTGCGATCTTCCACCAACCTTAGCCTCTGAATGCCACGATAGACCTCGGAATACGCGCCGCGAAGTTGTCCAGGATGTTGCAATAACCGTTCCCGACGCTCACGTTCGCCATCGGACCTCTCCTTCGCGGCCTGGAACACTTGTGACGCCCAAATTGACTGCGCCTGCTTGGGCCCTCGTAGTCGTGTTGGAGGCCGACGTCGACCTGCTTCTCGCCGTGGTACCAGTAGTGTACCTTGTCGAGCCCCACGCCGCTGATATCCTTGATCACGGTTGTTGCACTCAGGATTGGCGAATTTGATGACCAGGGACTCCATCGCGAACGCCTGCGCCTCGGATGGATAGATCGCGACTGGCAGCATACACAGGGCCCCCAAGGACTTCCGCAGTAAGTGATATCTGGGCCACCTCCCCTCGGGCTGATCAGGAGACATGATGGCCCTGATGTGTTCTCGAAGTCGCGCGGCCAGTCCTGGGGTGGTGACCGTGCGCGTGAGGTTCGCCTTGCCGACGTATACTCCAGCAGCATTCCACAAGACATAGACCGATGACTCGGTTGGTAATGCCCTCTCTTCCACACAACCCTGGCACCGTGACAACCATGTCTCATCAAGATTATTGATGGCTACCTGCACATATGGTGGTAAGACACGGAATGCTCTGGCTGCCCACCTGGAAACTTTTACTTTTGTAGAGCTTGGCGTAGTCGAATCACGCCCATTGCCATGAAGATATGAGAAATACTGATCATCACGCTTGGTTCTGTGACTCCATACTTCTTGCCACGAGGAAACGTGCGAGCCAGTAAGCGATGTAAACACAGCTGCAGGGCGGGAAGCCTTGCCTGGGGTCCCATGGACCATGCCCCACATTCGACTTGCTGTGGCCCCTTCTGGCGGAGGCGTCTGGATAAAACGCTGAACTTTGTGTACCTCCTGCAACGCCCACCTGTGGTGTATTGTCGGTACGGGTCAACTGATGGTATCTGGGGCGATCACGGGATGCGGGGATGAGCTGGACGTAGTGTGAGCGGTATGCGCGTGTGCTCGTTGAAGTTGAGGGTGCGTATTAAAACTAATGAAGATGGACTGGATGAGTCGTGCGACACCGTTGCTGGGAGGCCGGCTTGCCACACGTTGTATGTGTTCTCCAAGGCGATGTATGGGATGCAGGTCGTGGCGAGGCTGGCGGTAGGCGTCGGCCCTCGTCCTCGATCTGTTTTCCTTGCACCACTGAGCCGCTTGGGGTTCGATCTGAAACCGAAGGACCGCCAGCGCTTTCTTGAGCGTCCATGTGAGAAGAGCGGGCTCCCCTGGGGCTCGACCTCGAGCCGCACGCGCCCACGGGAAGAAAGTGTGTGTAAGTGTTTGTGTATTTGTGTGTTTTGTGAGTGTGTGTGTGTGTGAGTGTGTGTGTGTGTGTGTGTGTGTGTGTCTGTGTCTGTGTCTGTGTCTGTGTCTGTGTCTGTGTGCGTGTGCGTGTGCGTGTGCGTGTGCGTGTGCGTGTGCGTGTGCGTGTGCGTGTGCGTGTGCGTGTGCGTGTGCGTGTGAGGTGTGCGTGTGCGTGTGCGTGTGCGTGTGCGTGTGCGTGTGCGTGTGCGTGTGCGTGTGCGTGTGCGTGTGCGTGTGCGTGTGCGTGTGCGTGTGCGTGTGCGTGTGTGCGTGTGCGTGCGCGTGTGCGTGTGCGTGTGCGTGTGTGCGCGTGCGCGTGCGCGTGCGCGTGCGCGTGCGCGTGTGCGCGTGCGCGTGCGCGTGCGCGTGCGCGTGCGCGTGCGCGTGCGCGTGCGCGTGCGCGTGCGCGTGCGCGTGCGCGTGCGCGCGTGCGTGTGCGCGTGCGCGTGCGCGTGCGCGTGCGCGTGCGCGTGCGCGTGCGCGTGCGCGTGCGCGTGCGCGTGCGCGTGCGCGTGCGCGTGCGCGTGCGCGTGCGCGTGCGCGTGCGCGTGCGCGTGCGCGTGCGCGTGCGCGTGCGCGTGCGCGTGCGCGTGCGCGTGCGCGTGCGCCTGCGCGTGCGCCTGCGCGTGCGCCTGCGCGTGCGCGTGCGCCTGCGCGTGCGCGTGCGCCTGCGCGTGCGCGTGCGCGGGCGCGCGTGTGTGTGTGTGTGTGTGTGTGTGTGTGTGTATGTGTGTGTGTTGAGTATTTCGCCCTTTTTGGGGCTCCTGGGCACTCCTCGTCGTCACGGCCGGATCCTCCTTCTGAAATTCTTGCCACAGCGCCTCCCGGGAGTGCCCTGGGGGGGCGGTTTTTGACGGCGCAGAAGTGCCTCGCCTCGCGCGCGAAGTAGATGCCAGCACCCCACGGACCTGAGGGGAGGCATAAGAGCGGGACCGGATCAGGGGGTGGGGGGGGGGCAGGGTTAGGTCGGGCATGTCCCCCTCCAGGCGGATTTTGGGCGAAGAGCGGAACATAGTTTTCAAAGAAACCTCAAGCATAGCCAGCCAGTTGTAGAAGCACCTCGCCCCCATGTTCTGGTTGTCGCAGATCTTGAGTGCTCCTCCTGTAGAGGGGCGTGCCCGACTTCAGGGCAGGGGCAGGAGCGGCGGCGCGGAGCCGGCGGCGCATCGACGCGGCGGCATCGGCGACAGGCCCCCGATAGCGAAGCAACAGAGCGCCCTCGGGCACGGTGGGGGGGGGGGGGCGCTCCCGGCCCCCGACCCGCGACGCGCGGGCGCCCGTGGATGGGGGGAGCCCCCTGGGGCTCCCCCCCCCCCTCTGGGGGGCCGTCGAGGTGCTGGAGCCCGGCACCCAGCGCCGAGGCCCCGCAGCCGTGGTAGAAGGCCCAGCGCGCGTGGACGTCCGCCTCGAAGGGCACGCCCCGCTGCTCCAGCGAGCCCCGCAGCTCCGCGAGGCGGCGCAGCGCGGCGGCGGCGGCGTCGGGCCGGGGCTCCACGCGGTGGACGGCGGCGATGCGCGTGGCCTCGAAGGGCACCGCCGCCCGGAAGCGGTAGGCGGACGCGGCCCGGGGCGGCGCCGCGAACGCGGCCGCGACCAGGCCGAACTCCTGGCTGCCGGGCTCCACGGACGGGGCCGGCCACGCGGCGGCGCCGCGGCGCTGCGCGGCGTCCAGCCGCTGCAGCAGCGCCTCGCGCAGGGGCCGCTCCGCCCGCAGGCGGCTCTCCGAGCCCAGCGCCGCGTGGGTGCGGGTCGGGCCGGGGGGCCACCTGCGAACCTTGGCCCGGCCCCCCACGACTTCCGAGGGGGAAGGGGAGGCTCACTGCGCGCGGGAGCTCCCGGGCGAAGTGAGCCCCACCCTCCCCCTCAAGGAGTCGTGGGGGGCAGGGGCAGGGCTCGCATGCGTGGCCCCCTCTCAGGTGCACCTCGGCGCCCTCCGGGCAGAGGGCCGCGTCCATCAGGCGGGGCAGGCAGTCGTTCTGCAGCAGCGAGTACATGTTGTGGCGGTCGCCGGGGCGCGGCGCGAAGCCGGGCGGGAGGCGCGGGCCGCTGCCGGCCGCGTAGTAGAGGAAGCTGTGGCTCGCCGTGCCGGTGGCCACAAGCCGGTGCAGGGCCTTCCTCGTCGAGGGATAGTGCTCGTCGTCGCCGCCCGCCGCGAGCACCACGGGCACGCCGCGCGGCAGGCGCACGCACGTGGGGTGGGCGTTGATCATCAGCGTGGGCCCGAGCCACAGGCCAGCCTCCCATAGGCCCACCACGTACGCGCCGCCCTTAGATGCGCACATGACCAGGTCGGGCCGGAACTGGTCGAGCTCGCTCTTGATCTGCTGCAGGTGCGGGCCCATCGCGAAGTTGGGCGTCTCTGGGTTCGGCGGCTTCGTGCACCAGTGGATCTGGTAGCCTCAGGGCAACGAACACCGCCCAAACGTAAGCTCGCGGAGGTCCGCGCGGATTGCTCACCACCCCCACCCCAGGGGTGGGGAAGGGGGCCCATCGCCGCCCCGAGAAATCCGCGCAGACCTCTGGCAGCCTACGGCCGGGAACCTTGGCTCAGCGCGTCACCGCGGCGGCCCCCGCGACACGCGATGCCTCGTGCGCCACGATAGCTGGCGTGCCGCTGGGCTCTGCGGGGCAGGAGGTCCGGAAAGGCCCGGGACGTTAAGACGTTGGAGCCTGGGGACTGGGCCGTGAGGGGGCCAGGGGCGGGACCTGGCCTCCTGCCCGCGGCACCTGACCCCCTCCTCTCTCTCTCTCTCTCCCTCGCTATGTCTCCCTCTCTCCCTCTATGTACGTTATACATACATAGGCAGTAAGCACAATACGTTTTCATATGTATCAATATCTCTCTAGGTATCCATCTCTCTCTGTATGTATCGGAGGTGAGGGGGTGAGATCGAAATGGAACGGAGAGCCCCCCTACCTGGAAATCGATTTCGGTTTCGTGTTCGTGCGTGCCGTGCGGGCGAGGCGAAGCTGCGTGGGCGGGCGAGAGAAAGTCTCCTGTGGCTGAGGCGCGGCCGGACCAAATGACTCCCTTCCGGGCGGCCGGTGGCCCGCGGTGTCCCGCCGGTGTCCCGCTGGTGTCCCGTGTGGCTGAGGCGCGGCCGGACCAAATGTCTCCCTTCCGGGCGGCCGGTGTGTGTCCCGCGGTGTCCCGCGCAGTGTCCCGCCGGTGTCCCGCGGTGTCCCGCGATGATGGTGATGATGATGATGATGATGATGATGATGATGCTGATGATGATGATGATGATGATGATGATGGTGAAGGTGATGCTGATGATGATGCTGCTGATGATGATGACGATGATGATGATGGTGATGCTGATGATGATGAGGACGATGATCATGATCATGATGATGATGATGATGATATGATGATGATGGTGTCCCGATGATGATGAGGATGATGTCGATGATGACGATGATGATGATGCTGGTGGTGTCCCGACGATGAGGATGAAGATGATCATGATGATTATGTTGATGATCATGATGATGACGATGATGGTGTCCCGATGATGATGAGTATGATGATGTTGATGATGCTGATTATGATTGTGTCCCGATGATGATGATGATGATGTCGATGATGATGAGGTTGATGATGATTATGGCGTCGAGATGGTGATGATTTTTCTGATGGTGATGATGATGTTGGTGATGATGAGGGCTTCCCGATGGTGATGATGATGATCTTGATGCTGGTGTTGGTAATGATGATGATGGTGCCCCGATGATGACGACCATGATGATGCTGATGGTCATGTTGATGATGCTGATGATGATGAAGTCGATGATGAGGATGAGATGATGATGATGGTGTCCTGATGATGATGATGATGATAACGATGGTGATCAGGATGGTGCCCGATGATGATACTGCTGCTGATGATGATGACGATGACTGTTTCCCGATGCTGCTGATGATGATGATGTTGATGATGATGATTGTGATACTGGTGATGATTATGATAATGGTGGTGTCCCGATGCGGTTGATGACCGTGATGATGATGATGCCATTGGTGTTGATGATGAGGACGGTGTCCCGATTATGATGATGTTGGTGATGATGATGTTGATGTTGGTGTTGTTGATGATGATGATGACGTTGATTGTGATAGCGGTTGTGATATCGTTAGTGAGATCGATAGTGAGACCGAATGCGATTTCGACTGTGAGATCAATTCTGAGATCGATAGTCAGATCAATTGTGAAATAGACCGAGTGAGATCGATTGTGAGATCGATCGATGGAGATCGGTCGAGCGAGACCGACAGTGATATCGATAGTGATATCGATAATGAGACCGATCGAGTGAGACGTTGGTTCCTCCCCCCCCCCGAACCTCCTTATCGCCCGAAGGGTGGTCGTATAGGTATATATGTACACAAAACATATGTATGTATGTATATGTATATATATGTGTATATATATATATATATATATATATATATATATTCCCTCCAGCGACTGCGGGGGAGGCCAAAAGGACTTCCTAGCATCGGTCGAAGAAGGCTACAGGAGAGGGGCGGCGGAGCGAGAGAGAGCGAAAGCCCTCAGGAAAAATACAGACGATGCACTCAACCACTTGTCGCACGAGCGGCTGACCCGCCCCAGCCGATGAACTTCAAGTAGCAATCACATTGCGGCTCACCTGAAACTGCAGCAATCAAACGGGGCCCCGAAACCTATACGCAGCTGGCGCAGGGGACGGTGGTTGGGGCCAACAGGACTACGGCGCAAGCATTACCCATGTTGCTCCCCTCCCCCTTTGGGTGGAGGGAAAAGGGAAACAAAGTTACTGGGCATTCCCTCCAGCGATTGCGGGGGAGGCCACGGGGACCTCTTAGCATCGATCGAAGAAGGCTAAAGGAGAGGGGCGGCGGAGCGAGAGAGAGCGAAAGCCCTCGGGAAAAAGACAGACGATGCACTCAACCACTTTTCCGCACGAGCGGCTGACCCACCCCAGCCGATGAATTTCAAGTAGCAATCACATTGCGGCTCACCTGAAACTGCAGCAATCAAACGGGGCCCCGAAACCTGCACCACTCCAGAGGCCAAGTTGAAAAAACACCGCGCAACAACAATCATCCACAATACCTCTGGCACTGGAAACTGACGGGCTGGGTGGGATGGGGCAAGCGCGCCTTGCTTCTATAATAAGTGAGGGGGGCTTAGTCTTCAGCAGCTGCAAATTTGTGGCTGAAGCATTTTTGACTGCTTCTGGTAGTCCGTGGAGAATCCGAAAGTAACGACCATGTTCACTACACCTCAGAACACTCGTAATAGCTGCCTATTGTCCACGTCTTTGAATTTTGTGAAGAGGAAAGTCGGCCAAGGAATCCATACTCGGACCGTCATGGCACAGCATATGAGGAACAAACTTTTGAGAAGACATGTTAAGCTGCGACACGGCCTGTACGAACCACTTGCGAAGTTGCGCGGGCCCGAAAGGGAAAACCTTCTTGCGCGGGCGCCACGCCGAGCAGCAGCGGAGACAGCAATGAGTTTAGCCACGATCTGTCAGCATGAGACTCGCCCACCACGATCATGTTGCCCTGGATGCAAGTCTTACTCATGGCGCCGTCGGGCTCGAGGAAGAACACGAGTGCCCACTCGGGGCTTGCCCTGTCACGCAATGGCCGCACCACGTCCCGCGCCTTGAGGCCGCAAATGCCGCTGATTCTGACGCACGAGTCGAACGACAGGAGGACCGCCGCCGCTGCCGACGGCCCCAGCGGCCCCATGCGCATCAGCGCGACGGCAATGGCGAGGACGGCCTCCCACGGGCACGGATCTCGAGTACCTCGTGGATCTTCGCTCTTGCCAACGTCGAGGGCGCTGAGGGCAGCCAGCAAACTAGATGCCGACACGCAGCGCATCCACGCGCTGGCGCACAGCGCGCTGCGCGCCTCGTGAGCCCTCGCCCCCTCGTTGAAGAACATGTTGGTCAGGTGGCGCTCGAGCAAGAGGTCGAACTCGCTGATAGTGCAATCGGGCGCCGCCGCCCGCGGAAAAGCGATCGTGAAGACCCGAAACGACTCCTGATACCTCGCCAGCGTGACCGGCTTCACCCAGCGCCTCGCCAGGTAGCCGGCCTCGGGCGTCTCGCCTAACTGGGCCTACTTCTGCTCTCGGAGGCGCCCCGCCGTGGCCCGCTTCGCCTGGGCGTCGCGGCGTCGGCGCACCGGCGTCGGTGGCCGCGGGTCGGCGAGGCTGCGCAGCAAGGGCGCGCTGGCGGCGTCGTGAGTCGCCACAGCCCCACCGCTCTGAGCTGTCGCCCCACGGGAGCTCGAAGCGGCGGGGGCAGCTCGGCGCAGGGGGCCACTCGATCGCTCTATCTCCGAGCGCGGCCTCCAGGCCCTCGCGCCATCGCCGGAGGACGGTTGTTCATGCACAGTTCGGCAAGCTGAAGGTGGCGCTGACAGCGCCAGAACTCGAACCACAGCACGACAGAGAGAAGGCGGATACAAACCCGACAAAGTTGTCTTCCAGACCATCTGGAACTTCTGGGGAGCAACCTCTAGGCGAACTTTACCTCGAAGGACCTCATGGGGCACCGAGCATCTGCATACCTTCCCAAGATCCTCGAGGCCTTCGAGAGCCCCAACCAGGCGAGTCCTCTTCCGATACGGCGTACCGAAACGACAATAGTCGAGCAGCGCCGACTGGGCCCTCTGAGCCTTGATGAGACTGACGAGAGGTATCCATCGGTATTACTTCGAATATGCAGGATTCTCCAGAACCCATTTAACGTCGTACTTGAAGGCAGCTTTGAGAATACGAATAGTAACCATCGCCGTAGCATCGTGGATATCATCAGGAGCCTCAGGGGACCTCTTGGGCACACACCAGCTTGTACAGGGAGTCCCTAACCATATGAACCACATCCACCCCGATCTGATCCAATTCAGAATCTTCCGAACGATGCGGGGATTTGTCAAATCCAAGTCGGGCGACGTCTTCATGTCGATAGGTGCAGCGATGCGGAATCCGTTTTGCAAACACGCCCCTGACAAACGAGCGCATCCCGAGAACAGCTCCAAACTGGCCTTGTGCTTGGGCGCGCGGGCAGCGCGGCTCGTTGGACGGCCGACGCCGCCACTCTGTGCCACCGGGGGCGGCCCAGTGCCCCTCGGATCCGACGCCATATCCTGCCGACGAGAAAAAGCTGGAAAATAAGTAGCTGTGCCCACAGACGAGCACGGCGCACGCTCATAATTTTGTTGATCATCCAATCCAATCTGCGAAAGGTGAGATACGCTCGAGGCTGAGGAAATCACCGCCGTCTCGGGAACTACTTCCAGGCTTGGAGGCGCACGACCCTGGTCACGTAGAGCGAG